AATTTCAATTTATTTTGCAATTGCGGCAAAAACGTTACACTGTTATAAATATTTATGTAAAATGTTCCGAGAAATCAATTGTCGTCGAGAAAACTGATCGTAGTTGAATTAATATTTTGAATATTTTTGACTTTATCAGCAATTTTCTCGATTACTATTTAATTTAGGACAATTACCTTTTTTCTATATGATAGAAAATTAAATTTGCTTTCTAACGGTGCCAAACAAAAAGCACTAGCGTCAATAATTCCGAAGTTATTAGCAATTGATCCGAAAATCGCCCAAAATTTCGACAAAAATCGAAAAAATTAAAAACTTCAAAATTGTCCATTTGCACTCTTGGGGGTTCAAAAGACTTAATAAAGCACAAAAACATTGTAAAAATGCGAAAAAGAAATTTTTGAAAAATTTTGTGTAAAATATACTGAAGGAAAACATTGAAATTGTCGGCGACCGTGGTGGCTCAGCGGCATAAGGTCCCGCTTTCCGGCAGGTAGGTCCCGAGTTCGAGCCCTGGTCAAGTCGGCTATTTTTCTCAAATTCAAATTCAAATATAATTCAAATAAATGTCAAAAGAGGGCGAGCGCATAAGAGCGCGATCTTTAAAACAAGTATATACAAAAGTGAAAATATAAGTAAAATTTAAGTAAAAACAAAAGGTAAGTTAAATGAAGAATGACGAAAAGGTAAGTTTTGTAAAAAAAAATAAAGAGATAAAAAAATTTGTTATTAATTTTTTTATTAAATTTTAAAACATCTGCATTAGAGTACCAGTGAAATGGATAAAAGTAAACAAAAGGAAGGTAAAATGAAATATAAAGTAAAAGTAGCATGAAATGTATAATAAAAATTATAAAAATAAATAAAAACTTTTTATTATTTTGTAAATTTCGGCTAAAATATATTGAAAATAATTAATGTTTTAAACTATGTTTTTGTACGGTTATATGAGTGTGTTGTGAACAGACCACAATTTTTAATACGTTTGGTGGAGTGTTAAATGTCATAATCGAGAAAATTGCTGATAAAGTCCAAAATATCCAAAATATTAATTCAACTACGATCAGTTTTCTCGACGACAATCGATTTCTCGGAGCATTTTACATATCTTTGCATAACAGTACAACGTTTTTGCCGTAATTGCAAAATTTATTAATATTATTAAAAATTATTAAAATATTAAATTAAAATTAAATTAAATATTAAATATTAAAATAAAAATATTAAAAAAAATAAAATTAATTAATATAATAAATTTTATTTTCCGTTTTTAACTGAAAAATATGCTAAAACATTTAAAAAGAGCAAAAATTATGCTATAATTTTTGATCCTGTTTAGGAAAATTTAGTGATTTTTTGACTAATTCCTAGGAAAATTTGGCAAAATTATTGGGTTTCTGGCTGAGAAACATGTAAAACCTTTGAAAAAGACTAAAACAAAAATTTTCACAAATTTATTTTTTGCATTTTAACAACGTTTTTGTACTTTTCTAAGTCTTTTAAAACCCCAAGAGTGCAAATGGTTCAATTTTGAAGTTTTTAATTTTTAAGATTTTTGTCGAAATTTTGGGCAATTTTCGGATTAATTGCTAATAACTTCGGATTTATTGAGGCTAGTTCTTCTTGTTTGGTACCGTTGGAAAGCAAATTTAATTTCCTATCATATGGAAAAAGGTAATTGTCCTAGGTTAAATAGTTATCGAGAAAATTGCTGATAAAGTCAAAAATATCTAAAATATTAATTCAACAACGATCAGTTTTCTTGATGACAATCGATTTCTCGGAGCATTTTACATAACTATGCATAACGTTTTTGCCGCAATTGCAAAATAAATTGAAATTTTATTATTAAAAATTATTTAAAAAATATTAAAATATTAAATATTAAAAAAATCAAAATTAATTAATATAATAAATTTTATTTTCCATTTCTAGCTGAAAATATGCTAAAACACTTAAAAAGAGCAAAAATTATGCTATTTTATTTGGGCCAATTTGTCGATTTTTGATCCGGTTTAGTCAAATTTAGTGATTTTTTGACTAATTCCTAGGAAAATTTGGCAAAATAATTGGGTTTCTGACTGAAAAACGCGTAAAACAATTGAAAAATTTCAGATCTTTTAATATTAACCAGAAAAATTGATTGGATTTTCTTTTTGCAAAATAAATTACAATTACATTTATTTAGGCCAAAACCTGAAAATGGTCGATTTTTAAGAATTCTAATGTAATCTCACAGAAAAATCAGAATTTAGTTAAAAACGTGTTCAAAATGCTTGAAAAGGGCAAAATAACACGAACTTTGAGAGTTTCGCATTGATTTTGACGAACTTTCTTTCAAAAAATAGATTAATTGAGCGAAAACAATGCAAAACATTACCAGTTTCGATATGCTTTGGTACTTTTACAAGGTTTTAATAAAATTTTTCAAAAAGAGAAAAAAAACACGTTTTTTTGGCCTAAATTGGTAATAAATAATATAAAATCGGATAAATTTTTGTACAAACTTAAAAAAAACTGGTCGAAATGTCTTGAAATTTACCTCAGCAGCCTCAATAGTCAAAGCAAATTTAAATTTTCGTAATTTGCCTTAAAATCCGAGAAAGATATAGAGTGGAACTAAGCGGTTTTTTTTCTAAATCATTTAATAAAATAATAATTAATATAACGTAAAGTAATATAAAAAATGTGATCGTATTTTGTTTTGTTTTTG